AGGACGTAACTGATGTATCATTAAAAAAATAACTTCTGTTTTTGTTTTAATTTAAACGTATACGGAATAACAGATGGTTAACTTTTATGTTACCAAAATAAGGATGTATAAAGTTTATGTAGTCACGTAGTCATCGTTAAAATGTATACTAGATAAGTTCATTAAAAAATTACACCATTGTTGATATATTTTATCAGAGACATATATACACATATATGTCTCTGATTTTATTTAAAGAACAAAAATATTCGGTAGTCTAAAAACCGCTCAGGACCTCCTGAGTGCACTCAGGACATGTAATAAATATTTTGGTGAGCGTTGAGGGTATGCATTCGAATTAAATTTTTGATCTTATAATTTTTGTTTTGATAAAATCAATTCAATTTTTAAGAAGTTATTTAAGTTTTTATCGGCACGCGCCGTTATTTGGGATATGTCATGCATATATATAATATATATATAGTATTCAAATTAGTTCAGCCTAAATGTGCATGAAATGTATGTTCTATGTCTTTTATGTTTTAATATTAGTATTGTGTATGATTATTGTGTAAATGTATGTATTTGTCGGTTATAAAAGCTCAAAGAGCTTATGTTTATTTGTTATGTGACATGCCGACTATAAATAAAGCATTGAATTGAATTGAATTGAAATGACCGAAAATCATATTCAATACCAATCATCATGTTGATTAGGTCGTTTGATCTTTAATAAGTAGGAGTGATAAGTGATGGTTATATTTCCAAGTAAACAAAATTTAATGTATAAACGAACTAGACGTTTCTGATACGGTCAATAACTTTGGCTTGAGTGTGAAAACAGCAACACGCATTATCAACGACAAGTTACTTAATTTAGATCAAAACCAATTTTTGCAAGATTTAAACAATGATTAAAACAAAGTGAATGACAATAAATTAAGAACGTACCGCCTATATAAGACGAAGATAGAAACCGAAAACTACATTACATGTCAACTTCCACGAACTGTGAGACGTACGATGGCATTATTTAGGAGTGGGGCACTATCGCTAGCTGTTGAGACGGGACGATATTCTAGACCGCAGATACCATTAAATTATAGACTTTGTAAATTTTGTCATACGAACTCTGTAGAAAACGAAATACATTTTTTAATGGTCTGTCCTTTATATACAGACATCCGATATGAACTTTTTCTAAAATCACTAGAACTTATCGATGACTTTGACAGAATGAACACAGAGAATAGCATGATTTATTGCTCTTATGAACTGTAAATACATACAAACTTTTTTAGCTCATACATTGAATAGATTTTATTCTAGAAGAAAAAAATTTTATGAAATTATGATTTGCAAACTATTTATTCATCATCAGTATTATTTTTTCTTTCTTTGTACATTTTTGTATTTTACATAAAGGTTACTGTGATAGTCTTCATATAATATCCCAAGTTTAAATACTTTTATTTTCTTTTTAAAAGATAAATTCAAGTGACAAGTTTAATTACTATATTATCAGAACATTGGCATTTTAATAAATATTTTATTTGTTTATTTATTTATTTTTTACTTATGTCAAATGTGGATATTATTTTTATGTCATTGTAAAAGATGTGCTGGTAAATAATTTATAAATTATAGTTTTTTTTTAATATGTTTTTAATGTAAATTTAGTGTCTCGTAAGTCTATGTAGGCTGGGTATTGATCTTTGTTTTAACTCTTTTGTGTATTGAACTTGTATATTTATTTGTAAGATCAATATGTGACACTTTAATAAAATAATCATTATCTTATAAACACATATACAAGTAAGCTTGGCAAACAAACAAAAAGGTTTCCTTGAGAAAATAATAAAGATATATATTGTTTTTGCAAAAATGTTAAATAAACTTTTCGTTTTATTTGTAATAATTGAAGCCAATATAGTGGGGAAATTTTCCATTCAATTTATTTCGAGCGTATGACATTTGCGCCGATTTTTAAAATTTTCGATCTTTCATTTGCGCCGATTGTGTACAGGTGAATTATAGGTGAATGTTATTTTCCATTACATTTTTATCATTATCATTATAAACCTCTTCCGTTAGCCAGTTGTAAATATGTTATGAATTGTCAATTATAACATGTATGTAACAGTTGTCCCCTGCAAATATGTTCTTGTCGTTTTCATCTGGCTCAGAACTGGTGGAGAAAAATCCAGTCTGTTGGGTTAAGCACAGATTATAAAGAAAATTCAAGTGGCACTGGTAATGGCTATCGCTGCTTTACGTTTTGATAGTATGCCTGACGCTTCTTCTTGACTTCGTTGTTAGCAAGTACAAGAATAATAGCAGACGTGACATTGTAAGGAAGGAATACATCAGATATGTAGCATACAAATGCTCGGCAAGAACAGATTTATAATTCATTGTATTCCGTTTTTATGGATTTTTATGTTGTGCTTTTGAACGCTGTAAATAGGTGTAAACACAATGCTTTTGTCCTTTGAATTGACTTATCCTGCTCGAAATCCTAATTCCACCTCATCACGGTGTGCAGGGGACAACAGTTATATACATGTTATAATTGACAATTCATAACATATGTACAAATGGTTAACGAAAGAGGTTTATAATGATAACACAATCGGCGCAAATGAAAGAAAAAATCGGCGCAAGTGAAAGAAAAAATCGGCGCAAATGAAATGCAGATGGGCGCAAATGCAAAACGCCGATTTATTTCATTTGAAAACGTTAAAAAATATAGTTTCTAATTCATTGCAAAATGTTGCGTCCTTGTGGATCAAAACCCCGTTTAAACAGCGTTTGTCTACTTTCGTCTATTGCCGAACATTCTAAAACATAATGAAACTCGTCGCCAATATCACCGGAATTACATAAAGTACAAATGCAATTTTCTCTCTGAATATTTTGCCATCTCTCAATTTCAATAGGAATTTTCGTGTTCAAAGTTCTAAATCTACAAAAAGAATCACTTTAAGTATTTTTATCATATAGAATATCAAAGTATGCTTCGAAATTTAGACTGCATAGTCTATAATCGTTCGTTTTTTTCCAGAGTTTTTCCCTAAATTTTTTGAAACTCCTGATAGAGTTTAAAATTATTCATAGACAGCTTACATATGCAATTTTTATTAAAAAAAAATTATATTTCGCCATTCAAACTCATTCTTGTCCAGTAATACATTTCTTGATTGAGTGAAATTCTGAAATAATTATTTATTAAAGTTTTTATCTTTATTGCGATGGCCTATTTGTGAAAAAAAGGTACGATCTAATTTCATTAAGTAAGATTTATTCCCCCATTTAAAATCAACTCGTTTTTTGTCCAGTAATAAATTCCTCGAATGAGTTTGAAAAGGAAAATAAAATTTGAAGAAGGAATTTGTCACCAACATTTCCCCTTAATTTTCATGAAGCAAGATTTGGTTTTGTATCGACCCGTTCTTATCTGTACATGTATTTGTTTCCATACTTCAAATAATCAAATCTCATATAGTAAGATTTTAATTTCTTATTAGAATTGTTCTTGTCCAGTATTACAAGCCTTGAAGGAATTTCAATGTGAAAATAAATTCTGAAAAATGAATTCATCTCCGTTTTCCTTTCAGTTTCTGTCATTTACCATATTTGGGTATTTTTCTAATAATCAAAATTAACAGTTTTCGTATCACACTCCGTGCAGTATGATACGAGAAATATCTCTTCATGCAAAAATAGATACAGAGAAACTGTATTAAAATACACTGAATGGGAGTTTTATTTTTTCTCTATAATCGTAAAAATGCACTTCGCATAAAGTCAATTTAATTACATGAAACAATTCCGAAACAACTTAAAAACATCGTATAAACATGTATAATTAAATTTTATTCAAAACGGCTGAGTCGGGGGGGGGGGGGGGGGGGGGGCTAGTTGTGTAATCAGTGACACATGTCCTCCTTATTTATATGTAAACATATATATTTATTTATGAAAATAACAAATATCTATCTAAGTTCGTTTTCAAAATTCACCACTAAAATAAACATTTTTGTGCATATACGATAACTATAAAAAGTCCTGAGTGCACCCAGGAGGTCCTGAGCAGTGTTTAGACATACCCAAAGTATTTGAGGTAACATTAACAATCAAATTATAAGAAAATTATTTACAATTAATTAATTAGACCGTGACTGGGATAGGGCAGGGGGGAAATGCTTTCTGGGGTAAAAAAAATATTGCAAATAAAAAATGATGAAAATAATAGAGGACACTACTAGATTAAAACACTATAAATGGTTGTTTTTTGTTTATCACATTCCAAAATTTGCCTCCCCACTCAATTTCAGTTTAGTTCGAACTGATTTATCACATTTGATACTATTGTTCACAGGCACCTGGGACTATTATACTATAATAGTCCCAGCAGGCACTTCGTTGTCTCTGAAAAATAATTACATTTACATATGTACTTTTAATATAACGCAGGCTAAGGGTGTCAACGTATATTTGTTCTGCCTAACAGAAGTTCCACTGGAAACTTTGTTATAAACAATGTCATAATATCTGTTCCTGTTGGAACAAATATTCTATACCATTTATTCCGTTAGGAACATTTACTGTAATATTTATTCCAGTGGATATAATATTCCAGAATATTGTTTCCATTTGGAACTTATATTATGAAGGAACTTCTATTCCTATATCTATAGGTAAATTTTTGCCAGAGACAAGTCTGTGCGCTTGTTCTACAGTACTTACTGATCTTAAAGGCAGATATATATCATCAATAACCTGTTTTAAAATTTTGTAAGGATTCTCATTTCCACCTTAAGTGTGACCTCTTTTGGTAAATAAACAGCTAACGTTTTGTATAAATCAAAGGAATATGATTACTGCCCATAAAATAAAAGTGAAAAGAAGCCGCCGTAAAAGTATGGTATACATGATAAAATGCAAGGGGAGGAACTCTCTTGTTCCCGCGGAAACCATTCGTAACCTCTCTCCTCTGACCGTGTCGTCGAATAGGCGAAGTCATGTAGTACAGACAAACAATACAAGACAGATTATTTGAAACCTGACTGGAAGTCCCACTGGGAATTGTTCATCGACAAAACAGCATGAAACGTCTCCCTGAGGAAAACGTTCAATACTTAAGTGTTATTAATGAATACACCCTTCTCAACAATAATTTACCTGGCGCAAACCATTGGTCGATATCAGAGGCAGCTTGGCACAGCTGTTTATTGAACACGAATCTAAAAAGAAACTCTCAGCGGGGAGCACCCCTGGGGATCTCTCTGCTACAAAGCAATTCAATATTTATACACTGACGTAGCCAATCTCCACATGGCATGCTTTTAACTTACTGAAATAACATTTATAACTCAGTTGTGTATAATTTTAGGTTTAGAGAGATGAGATTATAAAATGTTGAAAGTTTGATTTTTCAATAAGGAAATTTTATGATGCATTTAAAAGTTGACAGGATATTATTGTGATGAGAAACTATTTATGAACCTTTCCTAGGACAAGATAATAAAGAGAAATAAAATGTGATCTCAGCCTCTGAACATATAATACTAGATTTTTTAACACACGGAGGATATAAAAAAGGTCTTAGAAAAAAAGCTGTCAAGACATACTGTTTTCTACATTCCAGAGATGTCGAGAAGAAAGCAAGCAAGACCAAGATCTTTTAAAAGTAAGTGAGTTTTCAGTGCAATTTAAGGTGTGTGATGTATATCAGCATGAATAAGCATTACATGTGCCAAACTGATGTACATATATACAAAATTGAAATTGATCAGAAATATACATTTGTAAGACACTGAGGGCATCTGTATCAGATATTCAAATTTCATAAAAAAAAGTGTTGCATGTCTTCACAAGTTTATCAAGTTGTTTAGAGTCAATTTCTTTTGCACATTAGTTTTGATATAATAATTTGTACATTTTTTTTCTAAAAATTCTTGATGTTCAATTAAGGGATGGGGATGAAAGGAGAGATACCAGTCTTATTATACCCATAGATGTATAAACCCATATCTATGGGTTTATACATCTATGTTATACCTGATGGAATGAAGTGACACATACAGAATGTAGGTAGAAAGGGGTTTTATATATGGACCATCCTAAAATATCTAATGGATTTGACTATTTTGACTGTTCAATTTAAAAGAAATATTTCAAAAATTTTGAACCTCTTTTTAATGTTAATTTGATCTTGCAAATGCTAATTATTCCCCCCATGTCGGGTTGTGGGGGACATGATTATGGTCTCTGTCCATCCCTCTGTCTATTAGAAACACATCAATACACAGAGACCATTTGACATACAGCTTTCATATTAAGTATGATTATTTGTCATCATATTCTCTTGACCATGCTGTATTATCATTATTATTTGACATTTTTAAGGGAGTTATGGGACTTTGACCATTTTTTTTATAGCAATTTAACATTTACACCTTGTGAACTCAGCTCCTGTAAGTCTGTTTTAAGGAAAGCTCCCATACTTAGAAGGATTGTTTGCAATCATGAGTAGTTGACTATATTGTACCACCATTTTGATCCAACCACTGTTGCAGGAGTTATGGGACTTTGACCTTTTTTTGGTGTATTGTGACATAAACACCTTATGAAAGCAATGTCTTTGAGACCATTTAAACAATCTCAAACAATCCTACCAAATATGAGAGCTTTTTATAGAAAGCTCTCATATTTGGTAGGATTGTTCAACATCATGTGTAGTTGACCATATTATACTGTCATTTTGATCTGACATTTTATAGGGAGTTACAGGACTTGTGACTATTTTTCAAATATTGGACCAATAACACCTTGCAGATAAAACTCCTCTGAGACAAATTAACTGAAAGCTCTCATTCTTGGTACTTTTGTGTACCATCATGTTTAGTTGACTGTGTTATTCAACCATTTTGATTAATTTGACCAGTTTTACAGGAGTAATTTGGGACTTAACCATTTTGTTCACTTTAGTGACAATACCACCTTGTGAACGCAACTTCTCTAAGACTTTTATAGAAAGCTCTTATGTTTGGGAGCATTGTTTGACATCATGTTTGAATAACCATATTATACTGTCATTTTGATATGAATAGTTTAATGGGAGTTATGGGACTTTATCTATTTTTTGGAGTATTATGACAATAACACAATGTAAATGAAACTCCTTTAAGAACATTTGACAGAAAGCTCTCATACTTGGTAGGATTGTTTGCCATCCTGTTTAATTGACTATTTAACATTCATTTTGATGTGATTAATTTATTGGGAGTGATGAAACTTTTTACTATATTTTGACTATTGTATCATAATGACATATTGTGACACACAATTTAATTCCTAATTTAAAATTTTATACAGAGCGGGGGATATTTGGCTATGGTGTAGCAATCTTGCTGTCAATTGTACATGTAGTGGTAACATTTTGGTCTTTTCAGCACTTATTAGTATAAAGAAAGATGTCTTTTTTGGGGTTTGAAGAAGCTCCTATGGAATTGCATTTACATGTAGTGACCAAAACTTTTTTCAGAACCCAGCACTGATAAACCAAAGTAAAATGAACAAAATTTTATTTACCAGCTGATCTGCTGATTTTTTTTTTTTTGCCCATGATAAGCTTTATGGGTTATAAATTACTGATCCGTCATGATTTCGGACAGAAAATGGCAAATGCTACATGTATAGCTACAAATTGTATCCTACCTCATATTGTGTAAATGATTTCTTCTTGTTCTTCATCTAGACATTGTCTCAATACGAGGCCAAAAGTTTTTATCTTTTGACATACAGGTACATTGTATCATCAGTACCATTACATGAATTTGGCCTTTTACCTCAAGGGACTATATTGATCACATCTATCCAACTTAGCGTCGAAAGAACAGATACCACAGATACATTTAAGTCTGATTCATATTGTGACTTACGTGTCCAAATGTACATCTAGAAGTTGACAATAAGGGTTGGTTATGAACTAAATTTACAACAAAAGAGATGATTTTAATTATCAAATTGTGAACTTTCCATTTCTGTGAAGCAACATTCCAGAAGCACCTGTATATTGAGAACAAATATCTTGTTGAAAGTTGAAATGATATTCCCTAGTTTGCTTTTCCTATCATAATTTTCTTGATGGATGGTTACTCTTAAATGTCGAAGGAAGCTACACGTAGTGAACTGAAGGTTCCAAATTATAAATTGAAGTCTTTCTACAGGCATTTGGGGAATTGACCTCCCTTTTTCTTTATATTTTTTGTGTTTTAATTTTATTAAGTAAATATTCCTTAATATTTTAACTTATTTATGTGTTCTTGCTCTTATCCATAGGATATTACAATAACTATGAATTATATATATAATGCCCCTCTATTCTTATTTGTCAACTATTTTCAAAGAAGAATTGATAGAGGAGCATCATATTTAATTTACTGTTACTGTAAAATTATGGATAAGAGCCAGGTGATAGGTAATTCAGTCACCTGTACTAGTAATTATTTTTCATGTACATGTACCTGTAAAAATCATACATTTTCAAGAAAAATTTCTTGATTTAAACATGTTGAAATAATTTATAAATATAGTCATGTTTAATATATTTAATATATCTTAGTTTGCAATGTAACAACCCTTAAAGGACTGAATAAGTAATTATTAATGTTAATTAGTACCGGCAATATAACACACATGGACTAATATCATTTATCTCTATAATATCAATCATGCAAAATGAGAAGAGTTTAAATTAAATAAAATTACTGTCCCCCGGGCAAAGCGATGCGGGGGACATAGAAATACCAGGCGTCCATCCCGTCTGTATGTCCGGTCTTGTTAGCACTCTCACGTGTACAATTCCTGCCAGATTTTTATGAAATTTATATTATAGGTTTATATCATCAATGTCTTTGATGAGTTCAAAAATTAGTACCGATCAAAAAATTTTAAAAGATGTCCATTGGAAATATTGATTATATGGAAAATTGCATTGTCAGCGCTCTCATGTGTACAATTATAACCAGAACTTTATGAAACTTATATCATAGGTTTATATCAGCAATGTCTTTGACACTTTCGAAAATAAGTGCTGATCAAATATTTTTAACGAGTTATGCCCCATGGAAACATTAATTATAATGGAAATCACATTGCATTTGCTCTGAAGCCATCATTTCTCTAAGATATTAATAAAAAGTTTTGAAAAAAAACAAAAAAAGTGCTTTTTTTTAGTTATTGCCCTTGTACCTTGGATACATGTAGATAAAATATTTGCAACGTGGTGGACATTGGAACTCTGTTCTTTCAATTTTACTAGAATTTATAGTAAAGACTACGTTAGAAAATTTCAATCAACAAGTTTTGACTAGCATTGGCCTGGGTTCTTTATACAGTAAAGCACTGCTACACAAATGTAGTAAATACTTAGGTAGCCTGACCTTGGCAACATTACAGGTGCCCCTAGTGGAGCAGAAACTGCTTATCCATCTGGAACCCCTGATTTTTCTACTAATTTTGTTTCTAATGGGTTACTGTTTCTTTAGTTGTCAGTGTTGAATTTTCAGCTATTTATTTTTCACAATTTTTTAAATGATTTTACCTCTACCCCCTTCTAAGCATCTGCTTTGCACACTTTTGAAAATGGTTATCAATTAGGATGACCCCTTACTGATCTGGTATATTATGAATCCTAATCACAGGATATAATGACTCATCAACTTATTTCAACCAGCGTAACACACTGATGTGACATGTCACTGATAATGCAGAAACTGCTAACCCTTCCAGAGTACCTGAGTTCATCTTCACTTTTTGGTTGCATTCCTGGTACTCAATCTTTAGTTTTCAGTGTAATGTGTTTTGGACTGTTGTTTGTATTTCTATTGTTTTTCATCGTAGAATTGTTATCTATTTTTCTTAAGACCTTTGGTTTTTGATTTCCCCCTTAGTATTTTCTCTCTCTTTCTTTTAGGTCCAGTTTGAGCTTTTCTCATCACTTGTTGTCCTCGTGTCTGATGAACCAGCGTGCCAACCAACATTGCTAAAAATAGAACATAGGGGTTGAAATTGTAACTTTTTATGCACCCACCAAGAGGGGGCATTAATTATATAAGTGTTACCCTTGTCCGTCAGTACGTCCTTCCATACGTCCCAAAATTAGTTTCCATTTTCTAACTTTAATTTGCCACAACCAAATTTTATGAAACTTATTCACAATGCTTATTACATGTACCACAAAACACAGATCAACTTAAAATTTGGGTGGCGTCACTTTTACCATTCTTGAGTTAGGTCCCTTTATATTTATAATGTTATATGCAAGCGAGGGCATCATTTGTGTCCCATGGACACATTCTCCATTTATTATTATCTTGAAAACCTCTATAGAAAGAGGAAATCTAACAGGGTTTAAAATGTGTAGATCCACCTACTGTCCATTAACATCAAAATTGTCAGATGACTTCTTATAAGAGTTATCACCCTTAAATGATGAATTTTACCAATTTTTGTTTTCATTTTTGCCTATAATCTACAATAGAATCTATAAAAGATAAGAGAGAAACTTTTAGTAGCAAAATAATAAGCCTTTAGTTTGCCTATTTATTTCAAACTTTTTTTTGTTCTTTGACAGTAAGCTACAATGTACAACATGTACAATCTATAGGCTTTTGATATCTGGCATGTGTGTGCATAACCTCAAGACTATGGGTTACATATTATTGGAGATGATTTCTGACCTTGACCATTAATCTTAAGATAAACTTCTTTTTTCATGTCAATCCCTAATCAATATGTAATTTTTTTCTCTCCATTTAACACTATACAATGACTGTCCATGTCATGTCAATTCCTAAACAATATGTAAAATATTTTTGTCCATTATTAATACACTATACAAAGAATGTCCATGTCATGTCATGCCTAATCAATATGTAATTTTTTCTCTCCATTTAACACTATACAAAGACTGTCCATGTCATGTCAATTCCTAAACAATATGTAAAATATTTTTGTCCATTATTAATACACTCTACAAAGAATGTCCATGTGGTTTAATCCATTAATTAGCATGACAGTTAAGTAATAAGTGAAAATACAGGGGCACCTGTGGATGTTATCTCTCATAATATAGTCTCACAGGTACAGGACCATTTCTAGTTGTAATCTCTCCAAACTGGTCTCACATGTACATGAGCACATCTAGTTATAATCTCTGAACATAGTCTCACAGGTATAGTAGCACATCTAGTTATTATATCTCTGAATCTAGTCTCACATGTACAGGATCACCTCAAGTAATACTCTCTCTGAATCTAGTCTCACAGTGATACCTCTATAGTTAAAATCTCTCTGAATCTAGTCTCACAGTGGTACCTCTAGTTAAAATCTTTCTGAATCTAGTCTTATAGTGGTACCTCTAGTTATAATATCTCTGAATCTAGTCTCATAGGTAAAGGATCACTTCTAGTTATACTCTCTCTGAATCTAGTCTCACAGTTGCAGTACTCTCTCTGAATCTGATCTCACAGTGGTACCTCTAGTTATAATCTATCTGAAATTAGTCTCACACGTACATATGCACCTCTAGTTGAAATCTCTCTGAATCTAGTCTTGCAGGTTTTGGAGCACCTTAAGTTGTAATCTCTCTGAATATAGTCTTACAGGTACAGGAGCACCTCTAATTGTAATCTCTGTATTCGATGTAGTCTCAAATGTTCAGGAGTACCTCAAGTTGTAATCTCTCTGAATACAGTACTACCGGTAGTTTCACAGGTGCAGGAGCATCTCTAGTTATAACCTCTCTGAGTATGGTATCAAAGGTACAGGAGCACCTCTAGTGAGTTTGTGATCTCTCTGAATATTGTCTCATAGGTACAGGAGCACCTCTAGTTATAATCTCTCAGAATCTTATCTCAGAAGATAAGCATGATAAGCAAATCTTAATTACACTTTGACCTTATCTTTCTGTTTTTTTTATTGTTCATGACAGAAAATATGACAAATCATTTTTGTATGTTTAGTTCTAATTCAACTTTTTAAGCATGATTAGTAATTTGTTTTGGTTATTAACTTGGAAATGTAAATTATAGTAAACCAACAAATCAGGTCTGTATCAGGGGATTGTACGATATTATCCCAACTTTCAACATTAATTACAAAATTATGAAAAAAAATTTGGTTTGTGTATATATGCTATAGAAACTTTGCAGCGATATTATTGTGGAATATTGATTTTAAGCAGTAGCTCTCCCTTGTGTCAGTAAAACACAGCGTAAACATAAAGAAAAACCCCATAGCTATTCTTGTATATGATTGACGTCCCGTGGTGTTCATTCAAATCCCTCACGACACTTTCTAATGACATGACTTCCATCAAAGTTTCCATGGTTACCATTATGTCTGGAAAATAATTGAAGAGGAAATATTTTATGGAATGAATTCTTTTATCAGAAAGATATTTAGTGATTTAATTTTTATGTGTATGCAGATTTTTTTAAAGACAATAAAGAATGCTTTTGATATATTTACTTTTTTCACAAATGTAAGATTTATTAATTTTAAAGAGTACATTTATTTCATGCAAGTTATTTAGCTGAATTGATTGATTGATTGTTGTTTGCTCATAATCATCCAGGAAGGATATATTATCATGATCATTAGAGAAGTTCTGCAAAGATCATCTACCAGGGAAATGGTGGGAAATTTGGACTGCCACCGGAAGATTAGAGTATGTTGAATAGAGACAGACATTTTGTCTTGCAACAGGCCACCCATTGAACCCTAAGAGAGTTTTTTAACAAGGTTCTTTAACATCCAAAGAGCTGGCACACTCCCTACAAGAGGCATCAGATTTAGAGTCCCTACCTTAATTGACCCATGACTGAATTTTCAAATGTAGATGTACAACTCAGTCAAATTGATGACCCCTAATCATGGGTTTACTACCAGAGGAAAAAGTTCTGGTGACCATTCATCTATACCCTGGCCAACCCTTCATGATTTGAACTTTATTGTCTTTTGGTGCAACATATTGTAGGGGATATAGATATAATCCATCTTTTTTGTCCTTGCATCTGTCTGTCCTTTTTTGTACCGTAATTGCTTTCACATGTATAATTTTTGCCAGATTTTTATGAAAATTAATTCACAGGTTTATTTCAACAATGTCACAAATAAATGTTAAAAACCAGAGTTAAGAAGTCAAATTTGATTAACTGCTTTTAAAGGAGTTATGGCCCTTGTTCATTTCCAAGGGAAATATAAATTATTTGAAATAATGAACCAATTTTTACCAACATTTTATTTTTTGTAGGAGAAGATGAAGAAGACCAAGAAACAGGTAAATTCTATTGTAACTTTATGTACCACCTTTTTTCATTAGTTTCAATGTCAGATTCACAGTTGACATGCCACAGCTAAAGGTTTCACCTCCAATCATTACCTACAATGCCAGATCCACAAGCTTAGTGTTTCTTGACAAATGATCATCTAGAATTCAGATCCACACCTGACATGTCACAGCATATTTATAAGTGTATCACCTCAATTTATTACCTACAATGTTTGACCCACAGCCGACATGTCAACATAAAAAATATGTTCATTTTTGAGAATTTACGTATAAGTGTTCTTATTATGACGTCACAATTGCCATCAATTTTGATTTTCCACTAAGTTTAATGAAAACAGGCCAACTTCCATTGGTTTTTAGGACTGGAAACATAATTTATATAATGCATGTGTCAACCAAAAAGATCTTGTAACATTATGTTTATAATATGACTTGAATATTTAGTTTGTCTTACCCTGCACTCTATATTAGCAAGATCACTTTCTTCAATGTTTGTTGGTGAACCTTTAACAACTTTTAGCCTTAAAATAATGAGATTGAAATTGGACAAAAACCAGGTCCTTACCTACACCTACCCCTTCAAAACAAAGAATGTATGCTATATCAAGTTCGGAAAAATTACATATATTTTATGCAGAGATTATTTTACTGTCAAAATCTTAAGAAATAGTAGAGTTATGATTATAAAAACAAAATGACAGACATGACAAAGTATTTGCAATAGATATTTAGTTTGTAGATAAAACAGGTTCTAAGAAGTTTCTTGATATCTTCAGTTTCATATGAATTAAAAACTGAAATGTCTTGTTCTAAAGTTAACTCTTAATGACCCATGGTTATTGGTACTTTTAAGATTAATCACCCTTTTGTAAAACTGGAAATCAATCAATCAAGCAGAAAACTTTTTATTATAAATATACATTTAAATTATCTTTTATTAATGTCATGTCTTGATGTAGAGGCAAGACTTAGGCATGCTGTTTGTGATGTTTGTGTTTGCAGCATCAACAATGTGTCTTAGAATGTGATTAGATCAGTTTATAAGGAACCACTTATGGTATTCGTTGGTATTTGGTATGTAAATGTTGTTGTATTAGCAATGGCACATCTCATTTTCATAAGGATGATTTGTTATTGTACTCCATTCTTATATTGATTGATTGAATGTTGGTGATAAACACCACTTTCAGCACTAGGCTATATCTTGGCAGCTAGTTTTTATTGGTGGAGGAAGATGGAGTGCCCTCTAACCTTTGACAGGAAAACTGACATACCTGACACATGCTTGTTTATGACACTCACAAACTCTGTGTCAACAGGCTATTGGTGATACTGTATACAAACTACTTAGACCACTCGGCCACAGAGGCCTCTCCATTCTTATAACTAATCAATATAAAAGACATTTAACAAGTTTGAAAATTCAATTTCTGTCTTTGTATACAATTGGTCAATCTCAGCAGCTATACAAGATAAGCATGGTCAAGTCAGAGATGTGTGAACATTTCTGAACCGCCCACTCAGTCAACTTATTTAAATATTTTTCCACAGAAGAATGTGATGATAAGAAAGTTATGTTTGACGAAGAGGCAGACCAAGTTATTGTCTCTAGAGACACACCATCCGAGTATAATTGTGATCTGTGTGGTGACAGTTTTAACAGCATGGACCAGTTCATGGACCACAGGAATACAGATTGTCTAACTGGTGAGTAATACGTCCATGGACCACAGGAACACATATTGTCTTACTGGTCAGTAATATTTGGTTAGTAATTTGACCGTGGACCACAGGAACATATATTGTCTTTCTAGTGAGTAATATGTCTGTGTAACACAGGAACACATATTGTCTTACTGGTGAGTAATTGGGCCATTGACCACAGGAACACATATTGTCTTACTGGTGAGTACTGTAAATTCAGAAATTATTGCGATGTTTTTATTATTGCGAAAAATGCGATGGGGTTATAATCGCAATAATTTAAACTCGCATTTTGGAATTTTTTATATGAATTAAACAGGATTTTTCTCAATATCGCAAAGATTAAAATCGCATTTTAGTCTAAAATGACAAAATCGCAATAATAAATGCACGCAATAATTTCTGAATTTACAGTAATTGGGCCATGAACCACAGGAACACATATTGTCTTACTGGTGAGTTATTGTACCATAGCCACAGGAACACATATTGTCTTACTGATGAGTAATTGGGCCATTGACCACAGAAACACATATTGTCTTACTGGTGAGTAATTTAGCCATGGACCACAGGAACATATATTGTCTTTTCTGGTGAGTAATATGTCTATGGACCACAGGAACACATATTGTCTTACTGGTGAGTAATTGGGTCATTGACCACAGGAACACATATTGTCTTCCTGATGAGTAATTGGGTCATGGACCACAGGAATATATATTGTCTTACTGGTGAGTAATTGGACCATGGAACACCGGAACATATATTGGCTCACAGATGAGTAATATGTCCATGGACCACAGGAACAAAAAATTGTCTTACTGGTGAGTAATTGGGCCATTGACCACAGGAACACATATTGTCTTTCTGGTGATTAATATGTCCATGGACCACATGAACACGTATTGTCTTACTGGTAAGTAATTGGGCCATTGACTACAAGGAAACATATTGTTTTGCTAGTGAGTAATTGGTCATGGACCACATGAACTGAACACATATTGTCTTACTGGTGAGTAATTGGACCATGGACCACATGAACACGTATTGGCTTACTGATGAGTAGTTTGGCTATGGACCAACCACAGGAAGACATATTGTCTTACTGGTGAGTAATTTGGCCATGGACCACAGGAACACATATTGTCTTAGTGGTGAGTAGTTTGGAAGTTCTGTACCCTTACTCAAACAAAAAGACATTGTTTATCTCCTCTTAGACATAATCAACTCCCCTTAAATCAGCACATATATGGACAAATCAGCACAGAAAAATTTATAGTTTTTAATCAACTTGCAACTAAAACAATGTTTAGTTATAAGGATTTAACATGCAGATATGGAGTGGTGGTGTTTTGTATGTTTTCCGAAATAATAAGAACAAATTTGACTCCTTTGACATTGTCAGAGGGAAATAAATGCATCCATATGTATATCAATAACACAGATCAATATTTAAAATCAGAACTAAAACCTTCTTAAAAATTTAAATATACCATTTCCTTCAAGAATAGAAATATTTATGAAAACATGAAGCATTCAATTGTTTAGATGTTTAAAGTCATGAAAGATAAATATAACTTTGCTAATGGGTTTCATGTAAAAGTTTAAAATTTGAGTTCCTCATGGGATAAAAAGATCATGTCCTCTGAGCTATGAATGATAGTGCAAGTTTATAATCATGATGTTTTGTCTTTTTTGTGAAATATTGTTATGGAATTATATAGTACTATGATCTAGCTAGTTTTGAACAGATAGATTGCAGATCACAAACAGAGCATTACTGTTATGGAATCTATTTTTGAAAAAATATTCATTTCAACTTTGACTGAATATACAGAGCTTGATTTGAATCACTTAACAATACTTCTTTAAAATTTTTACCTATTAGTCAAATAATGAAACATACAGAAAGCTTATGAAATTCTGAAAAAGGGGGAATTTGACCTCTGTCTATCAAAACTGTTCTTGATTGAACATTTTCCATATGGTTCAAAGCAAAGAAAGTCAATGTGTTCAAAGTAATTTCAAAATATGTTATAAAAGAATAATCTTTGATAATATGGCCCCTATGCTTTGGCAATGCTAGTTTTTATAAAAATCAGTGGGAGGCCACCTCTGAAATAGAGACAGTTGGCTTTTCAACATCACTGAGGACATCCTATCACCTCTCTTTGAAAGAAAAAAAATCACCAATTTCCTTCATTTTCCTTAATCTTGAAAAGAAATAACTAGAAATTTCCTTTACAGGTACAAGTTTTTTCATGTCCTATATTTTACGGAACTGAAACTTAGAATAAGAAATATTTTCCATAGATCTTAGCATGAAATTGATAAAAAATGTGAAGATGTCATTTTTACCTAGATCTATTTCACAGTTTGATGTGTAGGGCTAACAGGTATAAAGATAATGGAAATAGTTTGGCATGTTTCCACCAGGGGACTCCTGCTGGTTTATTTAATTAGCGTACCAGTGGAGTGTTAAACCCAATAGAACAATACCCAGCTGTATTCCTTGGTAACTTAGGAAACCTAAGTCAGCATAAGGTTTAATCAAATCCCCATGATAGGTAATTTCTGATATAATCAATTTTGATGCATGTTGGTTTTTATCAGTTTAACATTTTGTGAAATTATTATCCATGATTTATTAAAAAGTAAAGGTCAAGTTATATTATATATATTATTATGTGTTTGGTACTTTTTAAATAAATGCATTTTCTTTATTGTAACCATTGATACAGATGATTTTAATTGTTGTCAATCAAGGAGTGAAGTTAAGTTTGTTTGAGGCTATAATATCATAAAATTCAGTACAAATTTTGAATATTGGTTCATTAGCATGGGTAATTTTTATACATTGAAGTGACCCAAACCCTTAGATTAAAATTAATATTTATAAAAGACTAGACAAACATATATACTAATTTCAACTAATCCACATGCTAAATAAATATAAAAGTAAGATGTATGATAAAAACAATTGTTTCATAAGAAACATACAATTAAATTTAAGCATATGAGGGTTTAAAATTGAATAATAAATGTCATTTTTATGTTACTGTATAGAACCTCTAGGATGGTTATTATTAATGCAGTTATATCTTGGAAGTTTTAAGTTCCATTGACACGTCTCTATACAATCCTAATGAAAATGAATCCCCAGGGGTTCCTTAAGTTCATCAGTGAAAACATTCAAAATCCCTAGTGAGATCAGTAGAATCAATAGAATTCCAAGTGTTATGGGGATCCCAATAGGTTATGAAATATGTACATGAGGTCTGGCAGTGAACTTTTGTTTTGATATTATTCTGGCAGCCCTATAAATCACATTTCTTATGAAAATATAGTGCTTTACTGCATCAAAAAGATACAAAGTTTTTTTTAATAAGATATGTCATTAGACAAAGAAAATGAAAAATTTGAAATTTTAATTTGAAAAGAAGCAATATAGAATTGGGTTTTGTTTTTAGGTGAGGCCAAGTTTTGTGGATTCATAGCTTCATCAGATAATGTTATTCTGCTACTTATCCTGCTACTATGTTGTACATAATTACTTAGGTCAAATGATTTTCCTTAAACATACTTTTTTTCTGAAATAAGGCCCAAAAAATTATGAATTTATTTATCAGACAAAAACCACAAGACATGTTAATATGTGATACTTGACCAACTTCAATAATATAATGACATTCTGTTTATTATTTAATTACCTCTTCCTAAAAATTCCAGAGCTCTTAAATCTGAACACTTAGCTGTAAGTTTGGAATGTTGAATTTTTTCCATATGTTGTCTTCGTTTTCTTGTGTCTTACCATGGTTTGCAAAAGGCAAAGTTATCTTGATTTTGTTTGAATTATTTTTTAAACATTTGTTTGCTTTTTGTGATGCACTATGTATATATGACTTATGTGTAGAAGCCTATTGATTTTGAGGTTCAAAGATCAAGGTCACTTACTTAAAATAGATTTTTTTTAAAGGAAAAATGGTTTCCAGATGGTGATTTTGGGGTCAAAAGGTCAACTGTTACCTGTTAATTGAAATAGTTTTTTGAAATAATAATTGAAAACTGGTTTCTAGATAGTAACTTGAGTTTCTCTTTCTTGATTAGAATGAAAGTTATACAGATTAAAGATATAGGGAAGGGGAAGAAGTCTTTTGATATTAGGTCAAATGTCAATGTCACTGTAACTAAAAATAGAATTATTTTTTTTTTTTTGATATTGGGGATGGTATTCCCTATGAAATGAACACATTTATTGTGGTAAAAAATTAACAATAACAGTATGTTAATTTGTCCCACAAGCATACTTCGGTATTTTTAAATCCTTCAAAATTAAATATTTTGTCGCATTAAATGTGCAGTTTAGGATGCATCAGTTGACAGTCACAGCACTTGGTTTTTTTATGCCCCATTTATGGGCATTATGTTTTTCGGTCTGTGCATCCGATCGTCCGTTAGTTTGTTAGTCCTTCCGTCTGTCCGTCTGTCCCGCTTCAGGTTAAGTTTTTCAGGTTAAAGTTTTTGGTCAAGGTAGTTTTTGATGAAGTTGAAGTCCAATCAACTTGAAACTTAGTACACATGTTCCTTATGATATGATCTTTCTAATTTCAATGCCAAATTAGAGTTTTGACCCCAATTTCAGTCCAATGAACATAGAAAATGATAGTGTGAGTGGGTCATCCATGTACTATGGACACATTCTTGTTATTGGCTTCAAAGGATGTTTAATAGTATCAATTTATGAGCTTCAGTCTTGCAAATGACATGCAAGATGCTTATTTCTTAGCAGTATTATAAATTAACTGCATGCCTGTTTATACATTGTACAGGGAAACATCAGACTTATTGTTTTATTGAGTAATTTAGTGGATTTTTCCCATTTTAACAGCAATTGCTTCAGATCATTTTTTTGGAAATTGCATACTTTAAAATTTCATTTCAATTTTTCTCTGTATATCTTTCAGTGTGAGTGCACTAGTCTGTATAATGAATAGAAGCCTGGT